GAATATATAATGCACCTAAGCTCCCCCGGGGAATAGGGAGGTACATTCCTACAGTGACCCATGAAATTTGTCACAGCCTCTTTCAGCACACTGCACTGGCCTGACTCTTTCTGAGAAATCACAGCTCTGGGATACTGCAAATCCGCATCACTGAAATGGACTTAAGAGGTAGCTGCTTGCTGGAAAGAGCAGGGACAAAGTCAGGCCTGCTCATCTGTGCTCAGGAGTGGTACAAAAGCACGTCAGGGACCCCAAGGGAGGGAAATAAGCCACCTGGGAATTAAATGCATGCTCTGACACCCTGAAAAAAGAAAAAAAACGAGCTTCTAAGATACTTTAGGACAGCATTCTAGGGGGAAGGACCATAGTTTTGTTTTTTTATGCAGTTCAGGAGGTGACTGAAAAACATTACAACCACTGGCAAAGATGAGAAAAGCAAGTTTACAAGGACTGCCTGTTCTGGGTAGCCCTGCGGTCTGTGTCCTAGGATTTATGTACTTACGGATGAATTTAATGCTGGGTGATCAAAAGAGTTCAAATAGTGGTTGTATTAATGATTTCAGCATAACCTCTAAATCCCAGGATGGCAGTAGAAATTTTCAGCTTGGTCTTAATCTCTGACACTTTTTATTAAGTGCTGTTGCCTTATGATAAAGGAGCTTACAGGAGTGTTAGCAGTGGTATTGTCACTGTAGTGTACGTACACTCTGTGCTCCAAGCTCAATTTCTGGTTATACTAGTTTCTGGTTAGAAAGTAAATTACTAATGGGAAAATCTCCTGTCTGATATTCTTTCAGCCTTTTTTCCTTGATATTTGATTAATCCTTACTTTATTTTATTATTATTTTTAAATCTTTTTTTATCTGCCTCTCTGAGGTTTGAGAGAGAGGTGCATTGTTGCCTGTATTTGTTAGGGTGTCCCAGGGCAGGAGAAGAGCCTGAGTCCTCAGGTCCATGCAGAGTGCTTTGGCTCACAACTGCCACTCTTTCTTCTGGTCTTCCCAACAAATGATTGGTACCTGCTAAAGATACCCACAGGGCTAACAGCTCATAAAAGTGTTATGCATTTTGCAGCAAAGACCTACCTTATTCTGGAGTTTAGGTCACATGTGATCTCCATTTCGTGACCAAGGAAATATTAATATGCCTCAAAGAAATATGAGAATCATCTCACCATTACTCTTTCTCTCTTCCTCCAAGCTGTTCCCTGAAGTATATTGATCTTTAAAGCAGTAGTTTTCTTGAGCCTGTATCAAGAGAGTGCATCTGAATCACGGACAAAAATAAGTCACGTTCAAAACTGTTCTTACCCCTCCAGACAGCTTATTCATGTCAATCCCCAAAATGCCTAAGTTTCTAAATTAGGGATAGTCTTATCTGCTAATTACAGGTAATGCCATCCCCAAAGACCAAAATTGTCATCCCTAGTCTTTGTTTTGAAGCTAGAAGGTATCACAGGAACTGATGCTGAGTTCCTTGAGATGAAGGACAGGGGCTTGAGCTGACATGCTATTGCATTCCTCCCCATACATTACCATGGGGGCTGTTAAGGACCCTCTTATTGCAGAATCTTACTGATAATACAAAAGCCAGATAACATCTTTTTTGCAGTTCATAGTTTTCATCTGTACCCACTCAAAGTCCCTGTTGGCTGTTTAGCTTCATGTCTGTGTACTATCTGGGCTCCTAACATAAACCCGAAGCTACAACCGAATGAGAAAAGGTGGGAAAGAAGGAGCGATGCTCATGCTGGTGGCAATCACATCCCATGAGAATCTGCTACAACAGCACTACCGGGCTTTGCGGGTACAAAGCCATGAGAAGAACAGAAGTGGAACGAGTGTGAGAACAGCAAGGGAAAAATACTACCACAGACTGGCTGGGAAGCATGGCCACGACAGACTGGGTGAGAAAATAACAGAAGTGATGGGGGGGACGACAGAGTACTCCTCCATCCCCACTCCCTCCCAACCTGAGGTTAGTTGATTCCCTGTTTGGTATAAGGTATGTGGCAATAATATCTTAATGTCGTGGCCTTCAGCAAATGCAAGGTTTAAGACTTGAGGGAAAGACATCCATAAATTCTCTGAGTGATGAATGGCTGGCAGTTTCATTTGAGTACTTTCTGCTGCAGAAATTTAACATTTTTTTTCCAAGGGCATATGCCAGAGAAGAGAATGAGCAGACTTTTTCATCTGAATACTTGCATCTCCATCATGAAGTGGATGTGCTCACCAGCGGGCCAGCAGAGCCAGAGATTTGCACACAGTGCCCCCGAGTCCCAGAGAGGAAGAGTGGGGACACAACCAGGTTACAGTCTTGGCAGAAGCCTGAGAACGCTGCGATGTGCTTTGCTGGGCAAGGTGGAAGATGTGATGTTCCCAGCTGGCAACCGATGGTAACTTAATACCCGCAGATGGAGGCTGAGGGCGATACGATATTCCCAGCTGGTAGCCAAGGCCTGCCTCACTGCATTCCCATTTGTACACGCGGCTTCTCCGTACAATGAGAAAGGGTGGGCGAAGTGCAATAAAGCAGCTGGTCTATTAGAAGATAAGCTTTGTGGGGAATAACACAAACATGCAGAATCCCCTTAATCTTAAACTTTATTACCCTAGATAATAGGCTTTGGTAGTGACAACAATCAGTTGAAATGCAGAATTGTCTTGGCTCCTGCGGCACCTGCCATGTCAGTCAGTCAAAAGCCATCTTCTCCCACACAAAAAGGTGGCTGTTTGGTACAAGCGAGCTACAAGTTTTATTCATGTGTTTTGAAAAGGCTAAGGAAAGCTGGCTACCCGCTCGTTGCGGATTTAAGCATGCACTCGCTACAGGGGAAAGGCCAAAGCACTGTGAAAGCCTGCTGTCTTTCTTTACCTCGGAGGAAAAGGAGCAAGATGTCTTTTGTCTGCTGAAGCCAACATGAAAGAGTGGGGTTGCTGTTCCTGCTCTGAATGAGGTCAAGTTTCCTAATATTCAACCAATGATGAGAACGGGAAATGTGATATCCTTCGGTATAATCTCCATATGCGCCACTTGCAATATCTTTGACATAAAATTAATTTGGTTATCCACAGCACAATTGTGAAGAAGAATCTCTCATTCTCTTTTTGGGGGAAAACTCAGACCTCAGAAGCTCTATGCACACATGCAATCCCCACTCCTGTAAGTGGACAGGTACAAGCTTTCAAATGAGAAGGCATTTCACTCTAAAAATCGCCTTGAATTTATTAATATTTCTCTGTCACGTGTGCTTTTGTAAAGTTATTTTCCCCCCACAGCCCTTCTGTCAAAATATTAGGCAAAAAAAGAAACTGTTTAGAAATATTTCAATACAAACTTTGGTTAAAAGAATAACTACAAGGTGACAGAGAGTAATTTTTAAGTCAGAAGAAATAAAGGCAGTTCTAATAATTAAGTGCCAATTATTTCAACTTTTTAAATGTCCTCTAGCGATATTTGCAACAGGCACAAAAAAAAAAAAAAAAGACTAGCAGAACTATACAAAGAAATGGAACAGAAATTGCACCACAGCTTGCACTGAGGCAGTGGTACCTGATGTGGCCGCCTGCCAGCTGCATGCAGCAAGCAGTGGGAAAGCATCGGCAGGGCAGACCAGACACTGCCACACAAGCTAGCTAGGTAAGCAAGAACTACTGCAAAAGGCAGGAGAGGAGCATAATGCTGAGTGCAACTGTAGAAGAGATGCTACTTTATCGCCACTGAGTTGCCTTCAAAATTTGTCATCATCTGCTGCGAGCAGTTCCAGGGCTTCTGATGAGCAGCTTTCACGTCCAGAAAGCTTCATCACCCTTTTGGTTTATCAGGACCAAGACACGTTTGCCTTCTTTAGATGGTTCCCCTTCCTCCGCACTAGACATGACCAGAACACCTCTGCTTCCTTTGCAATGGTGTATTGATTTTTTTTTCCTGTCTCTGTTTCCCTAGGGAATTGACTGCACTAGATCAAATTAAGAACAATCTAAGCATTTAATGGGGCTCCTTCGATACAATGAAGTTTGATTGCTTGAAGTTGAAGTTCATGATAATTATTTATGCTGACAGCACCCTCTCAGGCAATAAAGACTGACCCTTTCCTGAAGGCGCCAGTCTCCATCAGGAAATTATTTTCATTTTGCAGTGCTTTTCTAGTACCCATACTTCTAATTATTAAATATGAGCAAACAAATCATAGAACAAAATATACTCTAGTTTCACCAAAAGCACCCGCAGTTTTGAGGTTACCAGCAAAACCTTAGACTCTCTGGGTACAGTTCCCAGGTACCCAATAAAATCATTTTGTGATGAGAACTACAGCATTTCTGTATTGTTTTAGGAGCTTGTGCTGAAGACTGCCTACAACCATAACTCTTTGAGCTTACAAATAGGTTAATCTGTGAGCAGATATTTTCTATGAATGGCTGAGAAGTTGAAAACAAATCTCTCTTGCAGCTTCTTGAGCTCTGTTAATAAAACTCCCCCTAGCTGAGTATAAAACCAGGCCTGAAGTCAGTGCCTGTGCGCAGATGTACACATATCCCAAGAAACCAGGTGCCTTAGCTCCTGTGGATGCTTGTCACCATACAAAACATCAGCACACTTTCACTTTTTGGTACATACATACACATAAAATTGAAAACATGATGATGTTTCATTATACAAAATACATACATGAACACACAAATATGTATGTTAAGTAGCCTTCCACCTGAACCAGTACAGCTCCTCCAGTTTCAGCAACACTTGTAGTTTTACAGCAGATGCTCTGCTTCAGAAAATGAATCAGGTAAGGGAAAGCAGGCAGGTTTTTTTATTTTTGTTTTATTTTAAATCCTTCCTTCCTGCCTGGAGCAACAACTACATTTGTCCAGCTCTTCTCTAGAGTGTAACTATCAGAATATAAAGCATTTTGGGGAAACTATAGCCTCATGTGTATTTTGCCTTTTTTATGGCTGGGAGAAAAATGAACATGGCTTTAATACAAGGAATACAGTACTTACTTTGGTTGTTGAGTCCTTCTGTGGTGGAGAGGCTGTGGTGCTCTGCCATACCTTCAGAGAAGTCCTCATCTTCACCTTGAAGAGACAGGCAGGATCTCCACTGTTTGTCCCACACTCCTTCCTAGCACAGGCTTCTGTCTTTGTATGTATAAAGTTCTCAGCATTAGCGCTTTAAAATGATAATGCAGGAACAGCTGCCTTGCATTACTTACTAATTCCCCAGCCAATGGACTGAGTAGAAAAATTAGTCTCTTAACTCGTCTAAATGTAAAAATGATGTTATTTAAGAAATGAGTTTGTTATCAGTTAGAAAATGGGAAAATTAACATGAAGCTGCATGAAGTCAGCGGTCCTTCCCTGGGACCATGCTCACAGAGTAGCAACAGGAGCACTGGAGCAGCACAAACTCACACCTACCGCTTTGGCCAGACAGAAATGGAGCAGCTTGAAGCCACCAGCTGATTGAGGGGGAAGGACACGCGAGAGGGGTTCCCTTAGGTGACTGGGTTTGGTTCTTTTGTCTTTAGCTTGTTTCTGTCTTACATCATCCACCTCAGAAGGTATGGGAATACAGAGCCCGTCTCAGTGGGCTACTCTGGAAGGCACCAGCAGCTCGCTCGGCCCCTGACCACCCAGCTGAGCTCAGGACAGAGCTGTCAGGGCACACTAGGGCAGGGCAGGGTTTGTGCTGGGGTGCTTGCAGCAGGCCGGGCTTTTCAGCAGGGTGACATTGGAGTAATTAAAGAAAAGGGCTCAAACGTGCTTCTCATTAAAAACAAACAAAACAGGCAGAAGGAAGGCAAGAATCTGCTTTTTCTTTCAACGACAATGCCTGCGCAGACTGCTCTGCCTGGCTGTGCAGGCCCTTCGTAGCAGTGCTGTAAGGTTTTCAGTAACACTGAACTCCTGGTGACCCTCACCGGCAGTAATTGCTTTAGCATAGGTTTGACAACAACACGCTAAAAACAAGCACAAGCTTAAAATACAATTTCAGTGCTGGAGACCTGCTCACATAAGGAATCCAGTACATCTCCTGTGTTTTTCTTGATTAGCAGCACAGTTCTCGCTGCTGGGAAAAATGAGTTTTCAAACCATTTCAGCTGCCTCCTGCTCCAGTTTCCAGCCTGGCAGGGAGCCAGCCAGCACTGACAGCGACAGCCCTGAAAGGGACCTCACGGTGCAGCCCTGGGCCAGGACCCACGCTCATCTACCCCAGTATCTAGCTTGTCTAAAAGTGGGGTGTGGAATAAATCCAGTTTTATTGCAGTGACTGGAATAAATACCTTTCCTTCCTTTGTAGCTCTAACATAGTTCGTTTAAGTTGTGTACATCATCAGTTGCAATGCAAAGTACTCCAAGTTGCTCACCAAACCCATACTAAATTAGCCACCCTTGTGTTGGAAGAATGAAACAGCTTTCTGCCCATCAAAGGAAAAGCAGAAATTTTGGCTGCAAGCACTGAAGGAGGAATTCATTGTTCCAGGAAGAAGGGCCCACCAGACATATGCAGAGCAATGGCATGTCCAGTATTTCAGAACACATTTAGATGACTTCCTGTTATAATGAACCACCTGGAAATTAGCCCTTATCCTTCCAAGGTTTTAAGGCAGTACATATACCTTGCTGTTGTATTGCACCTGGGGTCCAGAAATCCCAGATGTTCTCTAAATGTAAGGGAAAGTAACTCTACTTTCAGTAGGGAAGAAGAAAGCATTTGACTTGAAAAGGATGAAGCCTGCTGTTCCCAGCCCATTCAGTGGTGGCATACAAGGCAGTGCTCTCAAAAGCACCCCAGAGCTGGTGACGTTAAAAGCTGCCAGCCGTAGTGTATGGAGCACAGGATGAATCTCCTTTTGGTGAGTAATGGAGAAGAGAACCAAATTATTGCATTCTGGCTCTTTTTAAGGACCTTTTTCTCATCTTGCCAAGCCGACTTCTTGCAGGCAGCTGTCTGACATTATGAACCACTGCAAGTTACAGTGTACTCCTCCGCTTTGCATACTCTCCTCTTATTAATATTTTAGGGAATGGTATGTTAAGAAAAGCCTGTTAGAACATAGACTAAGAACAAAAGACATGCAAAAAATTGTGCATGGCAGTCAGTGATTAATCCAGGCTCCTGTGTTTTATTCTCAAAGGAGAACTTCAAGTATTTAACATAATGTATTTGTATCAAGTTTCAATCCTCTACAGTAAACCTATAGAAAATAAAATGTTTCAAGCTTTAAATACCAGCAAATCCCAGGACGTGGTATGTGAGACAAGAAGACATTTTCTCTGCATACTATTGCCTCCAAGCTCTTTTTTTCCCATTTCCCTCTCAGATAAAAGCTAGAATTAGATCCTGACTGTAAACTGAAGTCTTCAGCTGACAGCAAATATTCAGATATTGCAGGCAACTCTAACACAGCACTTTCTCCTATGACAAACTAGAGATATTTGAATTCTGAAAATACAAATATTAAAGTCTATAATCTTACCTTGATGTCTGATTAAACAAACTTCTGCTCTATCAGCACTGGAGAATTTGGGTTAATTCAGTCCAATGAGTTTTGACGAGGCAAAATGGTGGACTCGCTGTTGGCTTTTTAAGTGCCTTTATCTTAGGGGAAAAAATGGCTATATCAGCTCACTAAATAACAAAACTGGTGAAATTGCTTATTTTAGTTGTCATTTGGACTAGTAGCAATTATGCTTGTAATAGTAAAATGAAGTTTTAATGCTGATTAATGAAGCCACTAAGCTGTCAAGACTGCTAGTAACACTTAGGGGTCTCTGGAGGCTGTCCCCTAAAATAGTTGGCATCACGCATGTAATATGGCTTTTTTGTAGGACCAGATGTGAAGCATATGGTGACCTATTATTGTAAGGATGAGCCGTAAGTCCTGGTTGAATTATATTGGACAAACTATCCAAATGGAAAGATAACATCCAGTGATTATTACAGGATCATAGCAGCTTTCTATAGCGTAAGGGACAATGATGGGCTTGGGAAATTGCCTAGCTCAGTTAATCATTCCTGCTTGATAGAGTAACGTTGATGCTCTTTTGTGCTTATTTATATCCTAGAAGAATGCCATTGCTGTGCGTGTGAATGTACTCTAAAGCACATTGCCACTACATACCACTTGTTGCCTCTCATGCCCACTACTGCACGTGGCCCCACAGGGCGAGGGGCAGTCGCAGCGTTCCCCAGCATGCAGCCCAGCAGCAGCAGGAGCAGACCTCAGAAGCACAGCTGCAGAGAGAAAATGTGCTGCAGTGCTAAAGGCTGGGAGGGTTAAAAGGACACTGTATTGTCTAGACCACCAAGAAGTAGGCAGAAACACTAATCATGTAATGAAACTCACTGCTCTTGTATGCAGAGAGATAGTCCTGGTGCAGTCAGGCACATTTGGCACAATCGGGTCGTTTAGCTGTTGGAGCAGGGTCCTTCGTGCTGCTGGCCACCCCTCACTCGCACAAAACCAGTGAACTGCTGGACTGAGCTCTCTGGAGGGCCATCGTGAGAGCATCGTGTCACCTGGCAGGAGGAATGAGGGCAAGACTCTTCTCTGAATTACTCTGTTTTACCCTGAATTACTCTGTTTCTCCATATTCATTACCTTTATCATTATCCAGTGCTGTACTCAGTCTTCAGTATGGTGGCAGGTACTATGCAGAGCAGAATATAATGGACTGCTTTTCAGTTTTGCTGCTGCCACTTTGTATTACTCTTTGGTATGATTCTATCGTTTTATGAACAGTTTAACCTATTTACTCATGTGTAAATGGACAATGGTTGAAGATTAGAGAGGCTTCATTTGCTACGAAGAGCTACTATCTTGTCTCAAAGGAAAAAGAACCAGCTGACCTAGACGGCAGCGCACATACTTCTTACTGCGGATGTATCAAATTATCACCACAGCATTGGCCTATGGGTATAGTAACTAATAACAGAAGCGTGGCTACACATTGATTTTTAGAGACCAGAAAGAAAATAAACAAGTATTTCAATAACTAAATATACAAATTAACACACAGGATGACTCATCAGCACATGCATCTTGTTTAATGTTCATTTCTAAAATTGGTTTTTGCAATTGCTGCTGGCCAAACTTACTTTAGACATTATGTTCTTGTTTGAATATATATTTGGAAGAGGGAGTAAATTCTGTGTTACCTCCCTTTAAACACTTCCAGTATTTCTTCCATTGCCATACTCTCATATTTTCATCATATGGCCCAATTTTTTGTGATGAATAATGCCTCCACAGCTTAACTGGCAACTATATAAATATTCTGGCCCATACGCATGATACTACTGAAGCCACAGCTACAGTTGTGGTTGTCTGCATATGGTTACTAGACTCTGGATAGATAATTCACTCCTTGGAGAAGTCTGTTTTCATAGTTACATAGCAGTCTCTCAAGTGTCAATATGCTGGGAAAGCACATCACAGACAAAAACGTAATGACTGCTGACACCAGACCAGCTTTCCTTTTGCTCTGTATAAAAGCCGCCAAACTCTAAATCATCAGAGCAACCAAGCTGCTTACCTGCCCTCATTGCTTGGGCATGTCTTTACATCATGGAACTACATCTATCAAAACACAGCTTAAAGAAAGGAAAAAAGCATGGTGACTGACTGGTGTCAAAAAATTAAACTGGGATTAAGGTTTCAACAAAGAATATTCCCTGCCCAACTAATAGTGCTTTGTGAACTACTTCACAAAGATATCTGAAAAGCTGTCTGGATTTCATTAATAGAAACCCAAAATCAAAGACAACAATAAACTGAGCTTCAGTTTAAGCTGATACGCCTATTGAATTTCAAAGTTTTATATCTCGAATAAATGATTATGAATAAGAATTTTGCATATTTTTTACTTTTAAGTCTACAGTAAATTCAATAGCACTTTGTAGTAGAAGTTGTTCTGTTGATTAGGAAACCTTAATCAATACAATTTAGCTCCTCTTAGGAACTGCCACTCTCCCAGCCTGAGTTGGGCTTCAGCCAGATTCCTCCTAGTGTCAATACAATGTTCAAATACGTTGTCTCCAAAACTCTCTAGATACCTCGTAACACAAAGCCAATAACAATGTGGTGTTACTGACAGAGCTGTAGTCATCTGTACCTTACAGTAATGTAAAGATTTTGTACTTCCTTCAGACCTTTTAAAGAATCTATGCTAGTGATGATCTTCAGAGAGTTTGAACTAAGCTAATTCATCACTTATTTGCCTGCTGAAGAAAAAACACAAGATGCACTTTAAGATGATTGATAAAGGTTTTGCTGTGCATCTAACATAGATTACTTGCTCTGTTACTAAAAGCCTGTTTTTACCTGTTTATCCTCACTCTATCCTGGCTTGATTAAAAATGCAGGAATCAGCTTTGATTTTTCTCTTCCATCTAGCTGAAAGTCTCCCCTGTCAGCCTATGTTCCAGGATCCAGGGACGATTATCACAGCAACAGCTTTGTATTTGGGTGTAGTGAAGGAATTGGTATCTCCACCTATTTGCAAAGTGTACAAAATAGAAAATCGTAAACAAAGAGATAAAACACTGCTTGCAAGATGCAGATTCACCTCTGTGAGATCTCCTGTGTGATCTTGGGAAAGTCAGTTAGTTTTCAATCTGTTTACTCAAGAGACTCCTCTCCCACCTTTTCAGCATCCTGTCCTTTTAGATTCAGCCTTACAGCACGTGCACTGAGCTCCCAAACAAATCAGATCCATGCTGACTTTGGGCAATACTACCTACATTAACAATTAAGACCAAGAGATAAAGAGAGGGAGGGAGAGAGAGAGAGAGAGAGAGAGAGAAGTTGCTCTCTTCCTCCAATTGTAGACTGACTCTCTGCAGGCAGTAAAAATATTTTGCTGAAATACTCGTATGACAGTGAACGGTGAAGAGGCTTGTACGTGATATGCAAAAAAATGAAATATTTTGCATTGTTTCTTCTCTAACAGGAAAATCATCGCTGAAAGCCCTTGGCAATAGACTGGCATGTTTGAGTCACACTAACAGCAACAGCTGTATAAAAATAATGAAATTTGAGGAAGACTAAGTCTCAGTCTTTTATTCTAGACCTTTAAGTCTGCACTTTAAAGAGTTTTTTTGTTTGTTTTGTTTTGTTTTTTTCATGTTTTGTAGTTTAGAAGTCTTAAACTCCTAGAACTCTAGCAGACCTAGCTCCTCAGTTCAAAAAGCTGACAAATCCTATTGTACCACTGAGCCATTTACCTAGATAAACACTAAGCACATTTTAGGGAAGACATGAATGTGGGACATTCATGCAGTTTTCCTAAACCAAGGTAAGTGTTTTTGTCAGACCCTCTCCCATGAACGTAAGCCTTAGATACAAAGCAAGTGGGTCAACCGTGTAATAGAGATTGCCTAGAAGAAGTGAAGGACTCCCCCAACTCTGTGCTATAACCAACAACAAGCAAATTTCCTCAGCAAAATGTAGAGGTAAAACAAAACAAGATGTATCCTTACAGCCACATCATGAATGAATCATTATAAAACTGGCTGGCACAAGCCAGAGATGGAGGTATGGAAAGCAATAGCTAGATGGGGAAAAATAAATCAATATGGATGACTGAAATCCGATTTAGTGCACTAAAACTCCCTCAGCTTTCTCTTGCATTTTCTCTTGATTAGGCTGACAGTAACTGAAGTTGAAAATGTTAAAAACCCAGCCTTAGTCTTCCATGTTGCACTTAGGCTACACTGATTTATTAGAGTCCCTTTCTTTGTGCTTCTGGAGGTCGGACAGTGCTTTGATGGCTGGGACTTTCTGCAAAAGTGCACAGGTCATCATCCTGTGAGGGCTCACAGCTGGAATAGGTGTCTAAGCCTGATCATAACATGATTGAATGTCAATTACAACAGTGATAGTGCATAAAAAGACTGGTTACTACAAATGGAGAATCTGCAAGGAAGTTAGGATCTATACCTCAAAAGAGAGACACGGCAGAATACATTGCTCTGTGTTGCAGGCTTGGCTGCACACAGCTTTTATAATGTGTTTCTCCTTCTGATAAGAAGTTGGTCACAGCAGGCAGGGAGAATGGAATTCCCTACCTGTCTATAACTACTAGAAAGTACCCTGAAAAAAGAAAAAAAAAAAAAGGGGGGGGGGGGGGGGAGGGGTGTTGGAATTGGGAAAGGAAGTAAAGAAAATTCCAGAAGTGTAATTCAATCAGGTGTGGTCAAAAGCAAGGTCTTAGAGAAAGCCCTTGGGTCAATTTAACACCAAATGGAAGGACTGCAGAGTTTGGATGTCTCCCGGAGACTTAAATTATAGATGGTTTCCAGGAGTTTCCTTAATAAAATTTGTCTAGGGAGAAAATATTGATGTCAGTGAGGGGAAAAAAAAAAAACTCTGATTCACGGAAAATGGAAAAGAGAAAGGCAGCTT